TCTGTCTGTCTGTCTGTCTGTCTGTCTGTCTGTCTGTCTGTCTGTCTGTCTGTCTCTTCTGATTGGATTTTCTGGCTTCTATGCTCTCAAAGGGAAATGTAAAGCCGTATAATGCCAGCTGCGAGGCGATTTTTATTTTAACCGGCATGCAAAACTCTCAATATTGACGTAGGGAGAAAGCCAAGACAAAGATGTCTGTGTTAGGTGCCACGAAATTCCGAAGATAAAAAGAAAATCTGATCGCAAAGTTATTCCTTTCTACTTCATTTTTTTCTGCAGGATTTCCCAAGCCTTCGAGACGTTGTCGATATTCAAGCTCTATTTTCTCTTTTCTTTTCGTTCCTGAATATTCATAAAACTGAACCAGCACTTTGACAGCATGCAAGAAACGGTAGACAGGCAGACAGATGCATACATAAAAACATGAGGACACGCTTGAATTTGAATTAAAAAATAACAACAAAAAACGGCCCTTTCCTCCACCCCCATTCTCTTTCTTATCTCCCTCGCAACAGCATGAGGTCACATGAGCGCCAGGCTGAAGCCTCTGAGATGTTTCAGTTTGGTAGGAGAAGAAAATTTTCCGTCGCTGTCAGGTTTTGAATCTGGGACCTACTGAAAGAGAGGCAAACGGAATAGGTCTACCTCTAAACGACTAGTGTCCCCCGGGGGGGGGGGGGGGGGGGGGGGGGGGGGGGGGGAGAGTCTTACATACTAAGAAGTCAGCTTGGTTTCCCCGTAAGTCTAGTTGTGCTGAAATAAGAGGTGACGGCATAATACTTTTAGGAGTAACTTCAATTCAATCGTTTAAAACAATTTTTAATGTACGGAGAATAACAGTACTTACGTAAGTCAGAAAATTTACAGTAATTCAAAATTGTCTATCCTTGGTTGAATAAAAGGAATAAAGACGAAGACATCAGAGGTGGAAAACGTAACAGAGAGACAACGAACCTATGACTATTCAAAGAGATTAAATTTTTTTCTTCCCATTTCTAATAAAAATAATATTTAAAAAATTATTTCTGTAGTATGCACTTATATAGCATTCACCACTTCACAGCCTTGCTCTTGATTCATTATAGATATACATGTACTCTGTTCGTGCGTGATGAAGCAAGTTAGCTGTCGCAAATTTCCGTTGCCTTACGTGGTGTCTATTATATTAACGCTGGAGACCTAGGAACCCCCCCCCCCCCAACACTTTCTGTTTCTTTTGGAATTCTGTGGTATGGACTGTGGTCCTAGAGCTAACATACGGCGCTTAAAATCTGTAATGATCGACGAGAGATCAGACTATTAGTGACTGGAGCGAGTTAAGCTACTTGCTCATGCGAATCTCTCTCTCACACCCCCCCCCCCCCCAAATCTCAATCCTTTTCCTAAAAAAGGCAAGACGGAAAAGAAGAAATAAAAGACACCGACCCACCGCCCCTCTCTTTCACGTCATAATTCACAAGAAAACTACAACTACCACCAGAACTAGGATCATAAACAACACCACCAAGACAATCGGAGAATGAAGTAGTAGTATTACTAGTATTAGTAGTAGTAGTAGTAGTAGTAGTAGTAGTAGTAGTAGTAGTAGTAGTAGTAGTAGTAGTAGTAGTAGTAGTAGTAGTAGTAGT